TCGTCTAAGGCTTCGGTGTTCAGGTTAAGTGCCCTGATATTAGAGATCAATTCATCGAATTGCATGGGCGGTGGTGGCGGTATGCGAACTGACTTGATATCGTTGGAAGTGATATTGGAGTTAAAAATGGATTCCAAGAGTCCGCGGTCTGTCATCACTCTAGCCAGGCTATTCCCTTTACGTTTACGTTGAGCAGTGGAAGACGCGCCGGTTCGCTTTGTGATCATGGTTTGCTTGGCACGTGGTTGCTTCTTGTGTAATAACCGGCGTGATGTCGCCTCGTCATCTGTCGACGAACGAGATTCGCAAGAGAAGTGCGACTCGGATGGAGACGGTGTGCTGCTGGTGTTAACGGGCGAAGATAATTTGACTTCATCGTTGTTGTTTTCGCGCAAGACAGCAATCGGGTCCCTCAAGACGGGGGTAAACATATCAACCTTGAAGACCAACCCTTGTGAATTTGTCGATGGAGCGCGAACGGGGTAAGGGTTCTTGCGAACGTTTTTATGTCTTCCAAAACCCATTTCAGCAGGGTCGGCAATCTCCTTGTTATTTAAAATCGGCGATCTTATCATGTGATTGTTTCTATAATTAGATGATGACTTACTCGATGTATTGTTTAGGGAAAATCTGCTTAGATCAAAGGAGAGGCTTTCGGTAGGTGATGGTGCAGAATTATTATACTTGGACTTCTCTATGTAATCCAAGAGATCAGAGGGCGCGTCAGAAATACGCATCCTATATCTACTCTGTTGCTTTAAATCTCCAATCCGAAGGGGCCATTTTATTGCAGCTTCGTGCGGAGACGGTGGCGGAGAGGGTAAGGAAGGAGAATAATTTTTTTCACCAAAGTAAATTGGGATTTGTTTGTTTGAAAGGAACATGTTTGACGAGATCATTTTTGCGTAAAGGAAACCTTCGAGGTTTGCTTTTCACGGTGCTTGTAGAAGAAGAAAAAAAAAAAAACAGAGGGTCGAAGTAAAATATCTGGAAGCGCAAAGGCAAATTTTATAATTTTATTTTATAAATAAAGGTAAAACTTTTGATTTTTTAGAAAAAAAGCTGTCGAGTAATAACTATCGAGACTTCAGAAAGAAGTTTCTTAAAGATGAGATTTTACGATAGACAAGTTGGATGCTTGGTTTTATATATCAAACCAAAGTGATCCACATATATATTAAATTAAACTGTATTACGTAACACTAATCGAAGCATTCAAAAAAAAAAAAAATTTTTTTTTTTTGTTAAACTGGATAAAATTAAAATGAATTTATACAGTCCTTATTTCAATAGAGGTTCGACCTCTTTTTTCATTTAATGCTAGCTTTCAATAATAAAATAACAATAAATCATAGTTTGTATACACGTATTCTTGCATGCACCTATTTTTTTTTAAAACGCTAAAAAAATTCTAATGCCCGAAAAAAAAAAAAAAAAAAAAAACCTTACATACTGTAATGTAAAATCGAATTAATTCAAACGAGAATACAAGTAATTGCCAAATATGTAAATTTTTGTTCTTTTTCTGTGCTTGATTGAAACTGGACAGATTCTGCTGTATGGGAAGGATGCGCCAAGAAATATAGAAAGAGAATGGATTAAAAATTACAAGATTATCAAAACTTTTTTTTTTCTTATCCCATATAACGTAAATTACTTAGTTTCTACTAGCTGTCCGGGTAAACTGTTGGCCCTTTGTCTCGGGTGTTATGTGATAAAATGCATGCACTTAATAAAGTGACCGAAGAGATTGTTTCATCCACATATTCGGTTTGTACAGTTCGTCTTAGCACTAAAGGAGGATCGTCCGACCAAGAGATACGTTTGAAATTTAATTTAATAAAAATTGTCGTGTCTCCAATTTTATTTAATATCACTGGGATTTCTGGTTGGTTCTCGATAAAATCCCTCTTTTTTGAAATGAAACATTTGAGATTTCTTTGACTCATTGTATTTCATTAAATTAGAGCAATTTAAAAAGGAACATTTTTAGATCAAAAGTGGGTGGGTATGTATGCACGCAAAATTTACTTTCCACGACCTTTTTTTTCCCAGGGCTTCATCATGAAGAACATGGGTGCCTCGCCACGTCAACTAAAAAACTTTTCAGCTAGTCAAAAAAAGCAATTTGGCGTAAGAAATCCGTGAAAAGACCCCACACAAGAACCAAATTTAATTGAACAACTCGAGATCCCTCTCGTCCAATCACAAACAGAGGCTTGATCCGCTTTGATTGTACCCACTCGGGGGAGGAGGTGGAATTTGTTATCCATTGTCAAGCATCAAGTGTTCACGATATTTTACTTGGGAAATGGAAAATAAACAGAGAGATCTTCAAAAGGTGACAAGATTATATATGCTGGTGTCACATACGGTAAATCAACGAGATCAGAAAATTTCACGGACAAATATCCGTACTGTTCCAATTGAATCGATTATTTTTCGACCCTCCACTTCCTTACCGCTGAGGTGATTCCAGCTGGGCCCTTGGGACACCTCAGAACAATGATGCAATATACCTTTGTGCATGACCTCAGATCTTGGCTTAAATACAAAGGGTAGAAAGGCAGTCACTCAATTAAGTTCCCGAGAAAGCAAATGACATTCAAAAATAGAATTTCTTACGCAAATGTACATGATAGTAATACGATCGATCCATACTAATTAATACTCATTAGCACCCATTGCAAAGACAATTAATTGATTGATCACGGGAATACAAAACTTTAAAAGAAACAATGAATCCGGATTTCACCCGGTATACACTGTACATACTGTATATATATCCATATATATCGGAATTATTTATCAAAGATCAAAGTCAAGCACTTCCTAATTAAAATATTGATATTCAAAGTTCGTATGTGAGAAGCGGAAATCATCTCGAGTGGTTTTTTCGTGTAGAGTTTGTGAGAAAGGTTGACGAAAGAAAAAAATTCCATTGATATTTAACCCTCAACATTGTGGTGTGATCACTCCATTTGGGTAACTATTGATCTTGGGATTGATTTCCGGTTACATGATCAGGTTCAAAGATTTGCCTTTTTTATCCCTCAAGAATACTTATGTATTGATAAGCGGCGCGAAACTGTCTAACTATGAAATTTGCCCAAAACAGAAAGTTAAAATGTTTACCGGTGTTCCGATACGGGTAACTTTTATCAGTAGGGTTGGTTAAAAATCGTCACAAGTCAAACTTGGTTGGAGTTTGTTCGTGTGTACCAATTCGCACGCCACTTGACCATACTAAAGCACCATATTTGCAATCTTCTGCGGCAAACTCAATGATTCTAAAACCTGCGTCGCGATTTTGTAACATCTTCTTTTGTTTTCATAATGATCTGTGTTCCTTTGGAAAAAAAGATTGAATTGTTGTCAATAACGATGGGTTGCGGGTTCTGTGAATTAAGTCAACTTGTTGAAATCACTATGGCAACGTTCTTGATGATCCTTATGAATTTACTATACTGCCAATACAATACGTATTACAGTGTTAATCTAAATCACGTGAGTGTAAATTGTCATGTCGTGTAAATGGACACGTGCACATACGTACAATTTTGTTCCGTGGATTTTTTTTCAAGCGACTGTTGTGCCACTCACGAATAACCAGAGGAGAGTCAAACACAGTACTGCATATGCCGAAATTTTAAATTGACTTAACAAACAATTACTAATAAACAGTAAGATCGAGAACGCGGAAATATATGATTTATTATCTCAGCAATATCTTGATTTCAGCTATTATGTTTAATGTTAATAATAAGATTGGTGATAGTTGATTAATTGAATCATGCCTTGTAACTATTACCTTTCGCATCGAATTACAACATGTATATTAATTACCTAGATAATTTTTCTATAACAACAATGTATTTTGTAAATAAATAAATATTGTATATACGTACGTATATACAGTAATACCCAAAATTATTTGGAATTGGTCTCAATATATATAATTCAATATACCTTTTTTTTTTTTTTTGGAGTAAAAGGCTATTACACTTTATTTTATTATTATAATTTTAGACTTGCAGTATACCTTTGTTTTTTTTTAAGAAGTAAATAATTATTACATTATAATATTTATTATAATTTTAGATTTGCAAATAGGACTCCTAACGATACCACTTCAATATCACTTTGATACCAGTTCGATACTTAAATTTACTATAAAAACATATGAGTAGGTCATAACCCATATATTAAATTTACTATA